TCTCTCTCTCTCTCTCTCTCTCTCTCTCTCTCTCTCTCTCTGGCTTTTCAAGACAGGCTTTCTCTGTGTAGCTTTGTAGACCAGGCTCACCTCAAACTTACAGAGATCTACCTGCCTCTGCCTCCCAGTGCTGGGATTAAAGGTGTGTGCCACCACTGCCCAGCTTTCTTTCATGTCTTAATTCTTTGGGAAAACAAAAGTAGCCTCTACATCCCATTTGACATTGAACTTATTACCATGTCTTTTATTTAATACTTTAGCTACCTGTGTTGTATTTTTCCCATTTCAAGTATATGAAAACAAGTCTTAACACCTTTTTATAACTTTCATACTATTTAGATCAGCACCCTGTATATCCTGGATATGAATTCTTATTTTGAATGTAACAAACTCAGCATTGAAATAGGAACACTTTGAATGCTGGCCTGTCAGGCTGTTGAGCTACCCAGACTGATGTCTTTCGACTTCACTCCATCTTCATCCATTCATTGGTTGTGTAACTTTATCTAATTACCAGTGTTTCTATGAGTGTGATCATTCCATTTGCAGTGGACAGATATGGTGCCCATTCATTAACTTATTCTTTCCACAAATTGTTGCAAATGGCAAATGCAAGATAAAGAGATCTAAATTGGAATGAACCACAATTCCTGCTCCTAAACAGCTGATAATCAGATGTTGCCTTAATTTAGGAAGAACTATTTTAGTGTGTGTGTGTGTGTGTGTGTGTGTGTGTGTGTGAGTGTATGTGTGTAGCCAAATTACCTAAATAAATTCCAGAAACTTGTAAATACATTTGTATTCCTTTTTGTCATACTGGACTCACACTGTTGGAGTAGTCTTTCAAACACACAAAATAACATATGACATGAAAAAGGACATGATCCCCTAAGTACATAAATGTTTCTTTTCTATTAGTACTACTCATGACATCTAAATAGTAATAGATGCAGTCTCTAAGGTTAAAGGTGTACTTTCAAAATAAGTCTGTATTGCCAGAAATAACCTTCAAAATGAATTCAAACACAGTCACCCAACAGAACATGATGGGGGCTTCAAAGTTAAGTTCACTCATTCATAATATGTTCAATAACTATTGAATTTCTACTGTATGACAGATACTGTGCTAGCCAGTGCACTGGGATAAAATTCTGATTAGTGATAGACACAGTCTTGTTCTCATAGACTTCAAAGTCAAGTGGAAGTAGAGAGTTTCAATCTGGGAATCACCTTAAGAAGAATAAAAAAACTGCTGTGATAAGCAGTGTGGAAGGGACAAATGTGGTGCTGTGTAGGAAAACACTTGGACAGACTCAGGCAAAGGGTTGAAGACACTTCTCTGGACCAAGACTGAACCCAGATGCAAGGTATAAAAAGTAACTATTTGATGTTGCCCTACATGTGCCATTCATGGCAGAAGCAAAAGCAGCTATTTGAAAAAGCTCTGGGCAGAAGTGATTGAGATCTTGATCCTGAGAGAAAGGCAAAAGAATTAGGAGAAGCTTGGACCGGAGTGTCAAAGCATGGTTTAAGGGTACCGAAACCACACGACCAGACTTCATTTTACAAACCAAATGATAGAAAATGGCAAGAATATCCTCTTTGGAGAAAAGAGAAAGGGTTCTTTAGGAAGAGAAGAAAGTTACAATGTTTGTGGTGGTGACTGAAGGTAGGAGACCCAGGCTGGAGACAGGTGATGGTGGTTGGTTTCTGGTAATCCAGGGATGAGGCCTGGGTGTTAGGTAACCACAAGGAGGAAGAGAAGCTGAAAGAGACTCATGAGATGTTAAGCAATTCTGTGGGTTTCCTTGTGTGTGGCAACAATATGCACTCATATTGAAGATGAAATGAAACACTCTTTTTTTCCTTTGAAGAACTAAAGTGGGATGACTTATTGTCTGGGTTTTCTTCTCCTCAGGCTGGGATTTTTTGTCTTCTTATTTAGTGGTTCTCTTTATATAAATATTCTTAAGAAATTAAGAATATTCATGTGGCTTAGAGATTTCTTTTTACTAGCAAATTAAGAGTCAACATTAAATATTTAGACACATTTTGGCAATGAACTCTTAGTAGTACTAATTTTCACAGAGATTTTTTTTTAAAAAATAGCCATTACTTATATAGACAATATTTCATTTGGAATGTATGGCAACTTAATGAAATATGAAGTTCTAAGACTTCCTTGTTAGTTAGGTTCCACCTGTCAGGTAGTAAGACCTAAAGATAAAAAGTTTTAGTGAAACTGTTACTTAGTGTTACCTGAAGTTAACCTTAATACATTATTTCTTAGCCCTGGAGCTACCGCTGTGATATCCCTGGCATTTGGACGATACATTCTGGAACCATTTTTTATTCAATGTGAAATTCCTGAACTTGCAATCAAGCTCGTAACAGCTGTGGGCATCAGTGAGTATTGTAGCTATAACAGAAAAGAAGAATGTAATGTAACAATGTGATTAGAGGCAAATTTTCTTTAGCATTTTTTTGGGGGGGGGACATAGTATTTCCCAAATTGTCTTCTCTGTGCTTATGGTTTCAAATCTGTGTGGGAAACTAGAGGCAAGAACAGAAGATTTGAAGTGGCCTCTTCTATTACAGTGTGTGCTAACTGTATACAGGGTTCACAAGTGTGGGGCCTGAGCTTTTAAAGTAGACAAAGACTCCTTCCTGGGTAAAATATTGAATGGATGGTGGATCAAAAGACAGTCTCACAGATGACGAATTCTGAGGAATTGCTTTTTAAACTAGAAATAACCCTATGCCAGTGATATGTGAAATTATTACTCACCAGTAGTCCTTGGGCTATGTTTATATGTTGGGTGTGCATATTGTGTTTGTATTGTTTATAGTGATATTGACTGTCACCCTCACTGTTATCATTTTTCTCTGCCTATTTTTGGTCATGATAAGAATTTTCTCTCAAGATTTGATAACCAGTAGCCTTTCTCAGCTGGAATATTTGTTTATGGGCTATAAATTAGGAAGTTGTTTATTTTTTTATTAATTGGCATAGACATTTGGAAATTGAAGAAACAGATAAAATGAAAAGAGGAACATATACAAGATTCCATAAGCAATTGTTGTTTGTTTTTTACTCTTTTCTCTTTGGGGGGCCCAACACCCAGTTTCTACATAAATCATACAAGCCTTACCTTGGCTTGTTTCTAGGCAACTTTTCTTAACTTAAACTATCCCAGTCTACCACCAGCCTTTTTCCTTTTCTTACTTCTGTGTATCTTTTTTTCTTTTACATTTGTTTTTTTTTTTTTCATTTTTCATACCAACCACAGTTCCCCTCCCTCCCCTCCTCCTGCCCATGCCAACCTTCCCCTCAATCAACCCCCCACTCACTCCTTAGTAAGGGTGAGGCCTCCCATGGGAAGTCAACAAAGTATGGCATATCAAGTTTAGACAGGATCAAGCCCCTCCCTCCTGCATGGAGGCTGTGCAAGGTATCCCTCCCTAGGGAATGGGCTCCAAAAGTCAGTTCATACTTTAGGGATAAATCCTGGTCCTACCACCAGTGGCTCCACAGACAGCCCAAGTCACAGAACTGTCATCCATATTCAGAAGGCCTAGTTCAGTCCTATACAGATTCCCCAGGACCCTAAGAGAGACATGCAGGGATGCCCCTGGGAAGGGGAAATAGATAAGATCTTCTGAGTAAAATGGGAGGGGGTGTGAAAACATGAGGGAATGAGATGGTTGAGTTTGAGGAGAGATAGAAAGAGCAAGGAAATAGAAATCCCCATAGAGGGAGCCATTATGGAGTTAGGGAGAGTTCTGTTGCTAGAGAAACTCCCAGGAATCCACAAGGAGGACCCCAGCTAAGACTCCTAGCAATAGTTGAGAGGGTGCCTGAACTGACCTTCTCTTGTGATCAAACTGATGACCACACTAACTGTCATCATAGCACCTTCGTCTAGAAACTGATGGAAGTAGATGCAGAGATCCACAGCTAAGCACTGGGCCAACCTCCTAGAGTCCAGCTGATGAGAGGGAAAAGGGATTATATGAGCAAAGGGTCAAGATCATGATGGGGAAACCCACAGAGACAGCTGACCTGAGCAAGTGGGAGCTCACTGACACTTCTGTTTATCTTACTTTCACTCTTACTCTGTGGCTGGCTAGAGGACTGGCTGGGGGCCTGGCTGGGGTCTGGCCCCTGCCATTCTCCTCCCTTGTTCTCTTGTTCCTTCCTCCATTTTTTTCTCCATCTCCTCCTATTTATTTTCTCTGCCTGCCAGCCCTGCTTATCCTTTCTCCTGCCTTGCTATTGGCCGTTCGGCTCTTTATTAGACCGTTAGGTGTTTTTGACAGGCAAAGAATCACAGCTTCACATAGTTAAACAAATGCAGCACAAAAGAATACAACACATCTTTGTATCATCAAAACAAATGTTCCACACATAAGCAAATGTAACACACCTTAAAATAATATTCTACAACAAGCCAAATCCGGTGGTCATTTTGTATAACATTCTAGAATATCATGGAAATGGATAATAATTGCTATTTAAATCATGTTTTGCTGAATCCTTACGATCATAGATAGTTGACTAAGTTAAACAACCCAGAGAATGGTACACAGGAATAACTGAATTGTATACTCCAGGAAGACTGCTTAGAGGGTTGCTCCACAGTGGCTTAATAGAATAACATAAAACTCAATGCACTTTTGACAGCAGATGCCCTAAGGACTTTTCTGTGACAGAGTGTGAGTGATTCTATGTAAAACCATCTCTGGTACGACATACATGGATTTCTTAACTAAACAGCTTAATCCTAAACACACAGTTGTTTTGTGACGTCTCTGGAAAGACAAAGAAAATGACTCAAAAGTAGACATTTTGGAGTTCTGGGAATTAAGATGTAGCTGCCTATGAAGTTCTTCATTTATAGACACTACAGACAGGAAACCTAGGAGCAATTGAACTTACATCACTGCACCTCAGTATTGTCATGAGATAATTATGCCAGTGTTGTGGGGGCTATGAGGACTCAATGTGTGTAGAGTATTTGTGATGATGCGTGCAACTTATTACGAATGCAGGGCAAGTGATGAATATTTATACTTCTGTGGAGAAATGCCACTGGAATTCCTCTGGGACCAGGGGGCCTGCACAAGGCTTCATCCCCAGACACCCAGCAGCTCTTAGGTTGCTTGTTCATGCTCAGAAGCTGTCTGTTACTGATTGACTTTATGAGAAAAAGTCTAAGGAAGTTTTCTTTTAAAACCTAGCAGAAATACTTGTAGTTTGTAACCTGTTAAACTTAAGTTTTAGGAAGCTTCAGTTCTCAGGAAGCAAGGAGATTAGTGGAGAGCAACCGTCTGCTAGCAAGATGTTCTGGCACCATGAGCTTTTGTGAGGTGAATCATCTTATACAATGGTTATAATTACTAGAGACCAACAAGCTGGAGTTGGGACAAAGTGTCCTGGTTTCTTGTTATTTGATCTTGGTTTAAACTTATTTATGCTTCTGTTTGTTGGTTGATAAAATGCCTTTGATATAACAATGTGTGTTGAATGGCTATAGAAATGTAAGATATTTAAGACTTTGAAGAGTTCCTCTAGCATGGAAAGTTCTTGATGCCTCTGATGTTACACTGAAGGGTTAGACTAGCAGACATTTTTACATCCGTCATATCCTTTTTCCCTGAATGAGACAAAATCACATGTTATTAACTAAAAAGCATAAGCCAAGATCTTAAAGCAAATCCTTATGTATAGATAGTTAAAAATTCACAGCTTGCTTTGACTATGAAATTAAATAAATGATGATGTTTGTATTTTTATTTCCACTGGAGCCATCTTGCCAGAACCACAAACTTTTTTTTTTTTTTTTGGTTTTTCGAAACAGGGTTTCCCTGTGGCTTTGGAGGCTGTCCTGGAACTAGCTCTTGTAGACCAGGCTAGTCTCGAACTCACAGTGATCCGCCTGTTTCTGTCTCCTGAGTGCTGGCATTAAAGGCATGTGCCACCACTGCCCGGCTTGAATGACTCTTATTAATCCCAATTTTAAACTTTTTAAATGCAGACATTTATATTTTAGAGAATTCAAAATTTCAGATCTCCCCCCAAATTTAAAACAATTTCAAGAAAGGATCGGGCGGCTGTGTGTGGGCTCACAGATTTGTAGTTGAGTTTGGTGGAGGAATGGTTAGAGCCTGAAGGATTGATGGAACCTCGATATTTCATCTTATTTTTGATAGTAGCTACAGTATTAGTTTGTAAATTCTGACATAAACTACAGATGCTGATCAGGAACCAAGTTCCTAACCTCGGAGGTACTGAAAGAAAACTAGAATATGCTCATGAATCAGTGGGACGTAATTTAAGTCAAAGGCTTAATTGGAAAAGTCAAAGTGCCTTTAAAAGGAATTTAGCTTTAATGGAACAACAGGGGTGAAGACAAAGATAAAGAGTAATTTACCTGGGGGCAAATCTCTCAAATTATTTTTCAAAGTGAATATAGGTGATGTTCTGCCTGTTACAGGGGGAAGGTTGTGGAAATGTAGAAAGTGCAGTTTAATTGCATGAATTACCTCCCAAGTTCCTAGAGAGAAATGAGGAATCTAAATCTCTAGTTAAGTAGAGAAAAAGGTCAAACTTCAAAAGCATTTCAACTTTTGTGAAATATTAACCAACCATTTGAAAAATAATAGCAGAGCAGGGGAGGGATTTATTAAATCCTAATATACCCACAGTTTTCAAAGTACCCCACTTCTGGCAAATAATAAAGATGAGACACTTGTGTTTATCCAAAATCCTGTCCATTTTAGCAAAAATGTTAGGCACAGTGAAGTGTAATGGAAAATCTTTTAAGTTCACTTCAGCTTATGTCCCTAAGTTCAATTCTGACATGATCACTTATGAAAGATCACAAGTTCCACTTCTCTTACAGTTCAAAGGAACTAGGATATGTGTTCAGTATACAAAATATCAAGCCGATGGCTCTGGTCCTTAAAGCTGCACCCTAAAGAAGCATGTTCTCAGGTGGAATATTATCATAACAGTGCTTTCTCCTTATGTTGTGGGTTGTACTCACATCCACCCTAACACATCTCTCTCAGTCTCAGAACCTTTGATGGTTTACTTTATATAGACGAGAGCCATGTTGTACACTTGAACCTTGTGGAAGTAACTGGGAGCGACAAAGAAAACAGTATTTCTACATGATTGTGAAGCATAGCTAGCAGCTGAGAAGATGATCCAGTAGGTAAAGAGTCTGCTGAGCGGGCATGAAGACCTGAGTTTCAGCCCCAGCCTGTAATTCTAGGACTGAAGAATTAGGAACTGGACGACCTCCAGGGATAAATCAGTGATCTTTGGGTTCAATGAGAAATCCCACTCAGAAATAAAGAGGACAGCAACTGAGAAAGATGGTCATCATCTGTCCCTGGCCTCTTAATGTGTATACACACATGCACACCTGCCCACACTCACGCAAACACAGGAAAACATGTACATACAGAGAAAGACAAAATCAAACCAGCCAGTGCTACAAATACAGTACTGTCATTTCTGTGTTTCTGGCACCTTCAACTTATATTGAAAATATATGAGTAGCCTGTGTTGGCATTTCAATCACAGTGTGTGTTTGTGGATCTCTTTAAATCTGAAGCCTAGGTATCCTTACTCCTTTTCTCCAGTAGCTAAACTACAGCACAATAAAGTTGACTCTTCCGTAGTTATGTGCAGCAAGATATACATATACCAAGGAACAGCAGCCATATCCTTCAGAAGGATGATACATAAAATGTGGAATTCAAGTGCCCTGAGATCCTAAGACAGACACGAACCCTCCCAGAGAACTAAGAAAAAGAGATGTCACAAGTTTGTCAAAAAACTGGTTGTATCAGTGAGTTCACACATTTCTTTTGAGCTATTTCCTCGTTGCTGCACCTGTGAGCTGGTGGTGAAGGCTTGAGCTCAGGAGTTTGCCTTCCTACCTTCTAATCTTATCTTACCACGCACTGCCTGTATATGAACACCAGCAAATTAAACAGAGCCTGGAGTTTTACCCGCTTATATGAAATACATGACTGATAATAGCAGCCATGTCATAGAAATGTGCAGATTAACAAGTGTTATCCATGGAAGTCTCTGCACTATGTCTGATATAAGATAATAGTTTACATTTTTGCGGTCCTGGCTCTGTTTATTCCCAACAGTGAGATCATAGATACAGAGTTGGCCATCTGCCTTCTAAAGGTACTTTCTGAGATCAGTGCATCTCGGAAATGGATGCTAAGAGATAAAGAAACTCAGCAGCTGCTGCAGGAAACAGTGGAGGCACCCACTTTATCTCATCATATAGCATTCATATATAGCATCTGTATGTTTTACGGGTTTAGCACAAAGTGCTCTAAAGGCAGAAGCCTGAAGGAATATGACTCTGAGAGACAATCCAATAATCTGTAACTTTTTTTCAAAATGAAAGACAGAGGTAAATGATGGAGTGTGCAGAAAGAAATACTTGCTAGTCCTTGAATCATAGATAGCATCAGTCCTCAAGATTTCCCTAAACATCCCTTTTAAATACAACTCCTTTCAAAAATGGGTTTCTTATCTGTAGGATTTATGGATATAGCTTTTCCTGCTACATATTGGTTTCTAGGAAACTGCAATAAATAAGTAAATAAAAGTCCATGTGTTGCTGAATTTTCATTTTGCTAAAAAGTTGAAGCCCCCCCCCAGTTTCCTCATGTGTGAAATTAACTGTTACTCAAAGGGGTTAAACCTCATACCAGAGTGCTGGCTCAGACTCTTTTGTATGCGTAGATGGTACACATTTAAGAAGCAGCTAGGGTTTATGTCAGAAACTCAGAACACGCCTGTGTTTACTGAATCCCAAATCGCTATTCAATACTGTTGGGTAAGTAGCACACTTTGCAGCCTTAAATCCTTCTGTGTAGACACAGGATGAAGCAGCAGCTTTAGCAGCCTGAGAACATCTTCTGGCTGCCCCATAGGCAGCCTCGTTAGTCACTAGACTGTATTCCAGGGTCACTGAGGCACACCTGGAATGTGGTGTAGCTTCTACCAATGAGGGGATATTAGATGCTCAGATAAAGCTGACTTTGGAGAAGAGTTTGAGAGGGAATGCAGTCTCACTAAGCATTCTTCCTCAGCTAAGAGGAAGAAAGCAAGGTGAAAGGATCAATTCCTGATGTTTGTTTGATTGATTTGTGTCTTCCATTTGTCTCAGAAAAGTTTACAAAAAGGAATAATATTCCGATCCTCATTGTTTTCCATGTTCCAGGGGGCATCGAGCATTTAGAAGGCAGCGGACTCTCTCTTCTCAAATATGCAGTGGTCAGGTGTTCTTCAAAGGAGACTATTTCTTCTTTCCCAGTGTGTCTGTCTCTTTATTTCCCTCTTTCTCCCAGGGCCTCTCTTCTACTTTGTACCACCTGAGATAGGGCAAACACAGTGCTCCCTTGCTGCTGATGACACAAGGCCAATTTTTTTTTTTTTTTTTTTTTTTTTCTCCACTTTCCTGTCAAAGTTGGGCCTCTTTAGTTAAAAAAATTATCATCATCATGTGATGATCCATTAATTATATAGGAATTTGCATAGAGAAATGCATATTCATTTGATAAAATGGAGAGAAGCAGGGTTGTGTCTGATTATTTCTGATACGTAACTTCTCTATGTATTGGAGACAGAAAATTACTTTATTTTTCATAATTCCTGATGAAACAATGTCTTTGAGCACTGACAGAAGACCTGTTTATTTCCTCATGTAGTCAGCTTCAAAGATAGCTGAATTATGATGTGTCCCCCCCCCTCGGGCCTTTCTGACCATTTGTATCATTATTTCTGTGACATACTTCGTTACTGCTCCATTACGCTTTTAGTGGACTCTTCTGATCCCTCATCTTTGTCTTTTTCTCAGCAAGACTTTACCTGCTGCTTTATTTACTTATTAAAATGTCTACGTTTACTGAGATATATTTTGCCAATAAAATTGCATTATTTTAGTATGTGTAATGTGGTGACAATCTGCCTATGCCATGTGAACTGTTTCCTAGTGAAAGTTTGCTCCTGTTGCTGTCACCTCACCCCAATACCTCTTTAGTTTGGGTTGTAAGCACATTTATGTGCATGGTTCATTCACTGACTGCTGTCATTAAAATTCTAATCTTCCACAAAATGTGGTGAAATGTTGCTGTAACCTAAATTTCAAATTTGAAAAATTTTGATGTTCTGTCTTTTTAGATACTGGATATTATTTTATAAATATTTCTTCAGGCATCCTGTTTTCCTCTATCTCTGAGTTTATCATCTCCTCATGCACACATTAATGACTGTTTAACCTACTGTGTGGGTCAGTAGCATGCCATAAACACCTTTTCATGTAATACATTATTGATTATATATTGATTTTAGATGGCTGTCCAAAACCATTAAAAGACTGTACATTAGTTAGGCTCTGTTTGGATATAGATTGTTTTAATTTTTCCCATTAGTTATTGTATATTGATTATACTTCAGCAATTCCTAATTAGGGAACTGAAGTAATGATTATATTATACAAGGGAAACATGGTGACAACTCCTGATTGCACAATTCCAATTTGAATGGTAAGAATTTTGCTAGTGGTTTTTTTTTTTAATTTTCTGAGATACATTTTTAAAATCTTTGCTTAGGGAGAACACATCTTTACAAAAAGAAAGATTATTGATGAAAACCATAGGTGTGTAATAGCTGCTACCTGCTTTTAGCTACACTGTGCCTATGTTTTTGTCAAGAATATAAAGTTGAAATTCACTGTGTAGAATAACCATATAAGAAAATGAAAGCCTACATTATCACCATTAAAACTGTTCCTTAGCATTTTTAAGAACCTACTTCACCCATTCATTTACTCACACAACAGAAATATGTTAGTTATCTCCCTAGCCAGGAATAGAGATGATAACTGCAATGCCCAAATGAACAGCCATTGTTCTGTCCTTGATGTGGCTGCTTGGGAAACTGTCAACAGTATCAGTAAGAAGAGGGAAGTCTCCTGGCTTCAGACCCACTATGCATACTGAGTTGAAAAGTCCAAGATTTTTATTTGATCAAATAGCCAAACACACATTGGAAGCTGACACTTGCATGGTAGTTAAAACTCACCCTTCATCATCTATTTGGAAAGCAGGGAGGAAGTCCAAGAAGAGCACTGAGTAGGGCTGGTCCTGATGGAGAAGAACAAGACCTCAGAATCAGCACTTCTTACCCTTTCCTGAGTCAAATGCAGCACCATCATGATCCACTAGATGACTTCAGGATTAATCCAACACTATCATGACCCATTAGATGACTTCAAGATGAAGATATTTTACTTTATTGTTATTGCACAGCAATGTATGTTCATTTCTTACCAATGTGCAAAGAACAAAACAGGCTCTCTGACTGTGCAGGAGCTTTATGTAAGCTTTTCAGGCTTGAATGTATATCAAAGAGCAGTCTTAATGGGGGAGAGACTAGATCTGGGGAAGAGCCTGGGATTCTGCACTGCTTTGGTCCTGGTAGTTCATGCCAGCACTGCAGGATTATAGATCACATTTCGACTGACAAGGACCTAAGACATCATTGTGCTCATGGGGGTTTGCCTTTTGTAACTTTGTCTGTTTGTTTACAGCTGTGGTGATGGTCCTGAATAGCATGAGTGTCAGCTGGAGTGCCCGGATCCAGATTTTCCTAACCTTCTGCAAGCTCACAGCAATCCTGATAATTATAGTCCCTGGAGTTATACAGCTAATTAAAGGTATGGACTGAAAAGTAAATGCGCTTTAAACTGCGTATCTGCTTCTGGTCTCTTCTAACACTGACTTTCGCTTGTCTAGCAGAATCCTTAATTAGTCTTTGCTTGTGGAACTTAAACTCTGTACTGTCATCTAATTGATTTGAAAGGCTACACTGAGGGTAAGTTAGTATTTATAGTCGAATGGCAGCAAGAGAATTAAGAGGAGACCAAGCAACAAAAATAAGGTATCTAAGAATTCTTTTGGTATAAATTAAAATTACTAGGAGTCAAAACCCAAAGTGAAAAAGAAAAAAACACCTCACCACTCCACACACACACAAACACACACACACACACACACACACACACACACACACACACACACACACACACACAATGAATTTGCTATATAGCTTTAAGTACAGATCAATATATCCTTTGTTTGCACTGCAGAACTTTTCAATAATAGCAACAAATATGATAAAATAGTTCTTGAAAATAATGGAAAATGACTAACAAGTCTTTATTTTCTCATTTGCATTTCCTTATTCTGAGACAATTACCCCACAGAAGAGCAGTGGGGTTTAAGAATAACATTCCAAAAAACAGGATCCTTATGTGACAATAAAAGAGTTGAAAAAACTTAGCTCTAATTGTTACACTATTTTTCTCTGTAAAATTTGTATTTCTGAATGGGGAAGCTTCTGGATTTATCAGTCATGGAGCTTCCTATTTAATAAGATAAGAATGTGAGGGATGCTACCACAGAGTTAGGGTTGGCCTGGTAATGTGTGTTGGCTTAGATTTGGTGGAAATGGCTGGAAGAGACAGAGAGTCCAAGGGTTTACTGAATTTGCAACAGGAAATAACGAGAAATGATTAGAGCAAATCAATTAAAAACTGATATATCATGTGGGCATGGTAAATATATATTGTTTACATTGACATCGTCAGTTCCAAGAAAAGGAATTTATAGAGAAATTTAATGACTCCACAGGAGGAGAATTCCAATACACAAGGAAGTGACGAAGTTCAGGAAAACCCTTGCCATTGGTAGAGGCACCAAACACTGAGAACTTGGTTACTCTATCTGGGAGAGGGAACTGTTCTTGTCCATTTAATCAGCCTAGTGGGCAATCTTAGAGTCCTGCCAGTAAAATGCTTTCACCAAATCCCAAAACTTCAGTCTCTGAATAAACACAATGTGCCATTTGAACAGTAGAGCTGGTGTATGAGAAGATGTGGGCTTGCTGTCCCAATTCACCATGGTATCCACAGAGCTGGCCTGCTCACATTCCACTCTGAAAGGAGGCAAAATTGTTCACACTCTCAGAGCTTTCATCTCCTGAGCTGACTTTCTAGTCTTCTGTAGAGAGCCTTTGAGATTCTGGAAAGTAACGGAAGGGTGAATCCCTAGCCCTTCTAGACTTGGCTGTTTTCTGGCTTTTCCTGTTGGTATAATGCCGGCTATGATATGTAGTTATAGTCTGTAGCTGGTTCTGACCCCTCATCTATGTATGTTTAGCATGTAATGGAGCATGGTTAGCAGTTGCTATTGCATCACAAATTACTTGAGAACAGAGACCATGGTGAAACTCCTGAATCTTTCTTGTCAGTTACAATACAGTGCTATTTTAATTATTGCTTATGGTATCCAGAACATAAACCCACCCCAATTCTTGCTTCTCACACAACAGAGAAATTCCCTGAGGATATTACTGCATTTGGAGCATTTTTTAGTACTTTGGAGACCAGTCATATTTTCTTTATTACTATGAAATTTTATAAAATTGAGATTTTAAATTTGTAATACAACCATTTAATTTTTCCACATTTCTCTGAGACCCCAGGAAGAAAAAGACTTCACCAATAAGTGTGATGTGTTTAATTCTACTCTAATCAGATCCTAATTGTAGCTGGATATTGTGCATTTACTTATGAGGCTTGGAACTTCCCTTTGAATGTTACTTTCATCTTCCTAAGGCCTCTGTTATGCATCCAAAATGTTCCTGAAGTTCAGAAACAATGTGCCTCTTTGCAACACTCTCAAAGTGGCTCATTTGAAGAACTGTAGCCCAGTCTTTACAGTTTAGATATTTTCTCTTATTAATTACTAATTGCTACACTCTAAAGGATATTTTCTTTTTAGGCTAAGGAGACCACAGATCATAGAAGAACACTCGATAGGTGTTTTTTTTCTTTTAAACAATATTTTATTTTTAGATGTGTGTTTGTGTGTGTACATGTTTGTGTGTGTGTGTGTGTGTGTGTGTGTGTGTGTGTGTGCGCGCACACACATTTGTATGCCTGCAAATGATGATGTGCACATAAGCACAGGTGCTTACAAAGGCAAGAAGAGGGCATCAGATACCCTGAAGCTGGAGCAACACATGGTTTGTATGGATGCTGGGAGCTGAACTCAGATCCTCTGTTTTTAGGTGCAGAGCATCCTCTCAAGTCCCAACAGATCTCAGTGTGCATAATTTCCTTCTATTAAGGCATAGAAATGTTTCAGGAAAATGGGCATTTTTGATTCACCTTGTCAAGTTTTCATAAAACTATATTTAGAAGTTGATTGCTTTGAGAAAAAAATATTGTTCTTTATGTAACACAACCATGTCCATCTTGGCTCCCATCCTCATATTCTATCACTATGAATACTTGGTCTCATGATGTGGGCAATAGCTGATATTTGACTTAAAAGAGAGTGTTGTATATACATCCTCTTCCTTTTCTCTTCTTGGCCCCCTTTTATTGAACTAAAGGTCAGTTTTAAAACATGTTCCTTTCCTATTTGAGTAATCTCATTTGCTGTTTTCCTTGGGGGTGGTGGATGACACAGATAATTTTTTGGTTAGTTTTGAATCTGTGCTTACTAACACAAATCTGGTTTTGTAATCTACCCAAAAGATTCAAAGGAAAAGATACCCGCTCTCCACAACATAGAGGGGGAGGGGGTGTGATGGACAAAAGTGTTCAGTCTGCATGTTGATGCCAACGTTGGTAAAACTTGGTTTGAGGTTTGGTACAATTTCTTATTCATATTTTTAGAAGAAAATGGTGGGATGGGCCAATACAGTGTCAATAAGTTACCTCTACAAAGAGTGGGCATGGGAACCTTGATATGAACCTTTATATGAACAAGCCTTTTGGGTTTTGACAGTGAGTTTTGTCTGCAGCCTTCCCTGCTTTAGGAGGCAGGTGTCCAATGTACTCCAGGGATAAACAGCAGGGTGTTAAGTGATGTGATGTGGGAGGCAGGACAAGCATTTCTTGATGCCTCCTCAGTCAAGGCAGACTCTGAGATTTCTTTTCATCCCTACTATGCCATTCATTATCTTCTAAGAATTTTGACAAACTTAAAACTTCAATTAATAGGAGAAGCTTTAGTCTACTATCCTGGTTAAAATAGAGGACACTCAAACAATGGAAATGATATCACCTATTTTAAGTGCCACTTTCATCCTGCTCGTCATCTACAAAAGAACTTTAAAATGGTCTAGGTGACAACAAGTGTGCATTTGAGACTCCTGCCCTAGCGTGGTTGCAGTATCAATAGAGTTGGCTGTGAACAGAGAGTCAGAACAGGGCAGCTCACCTCCCAACCATGTCAGGGTTGGAACAAATAATAGAAAATTCTTTGCAAAGCTCTAAAAATCCTTGCATCCTAATTGCAGGTCATACACAGCACTTTGAAGATGCATTTTCAGGAAGAGATGCAAATCTAATGGGGTTGCCCTTGGCTTTTTATTATGGGATGTATGCATATGCTGGTTGGTAAGTGGATATCTCCAGATACTTCATTAAATTGCTTCATTTGCCTTTTCTCTTGTTAATCTGTCTTTTATCATAGGAGTGTCAGCTTTGACCCTAGTAACGGATGAGGAAGCACATCACACATTTCTTCCCCAACTAGATTTTCATTATGTCAGGTACACAGTGATTATTTAGTCAAAGTTTCAAGTAACATGGAATTCTCAGAAATGAAGACCTATAAAGCCAGGAAAAGTAATTTTCATGGCCAAAAGATATAGTGCAATGGTAATAGACTGGAGGGAAACTAAGTGACGTGTTGGTTCAGATTCTTCTTGACTTTTTTGTGTAACATTTCTTCCCCCTGGGAGAGAATAGAACCTCTCTCAACCAAGGCTCTTACGATGTATTATGAGACAAAGTGGAGCATAGAACAGTGCAGCTGCTTTCCACAGAAAGGCAGGAGGAAGTGTGAGACATATTTCTAGGTTTTACAGTTGCCTTTGTGGGAGATAGGTTCTAGTTTCTGGGAACACTTAGGTAAGACTGATTATCTTCTGCAGCTTACCCTGGGAGAAAGAGAAGCATGAAGGGAAGGTGGGAGGATACTTGAAACTGATCCTTCTTCAGAGGTCCTTCCAGTTTCCTGCAGTGTGGCAAAGCTTCAAACTTATACAGTTAGGAGTCCCTGATGAGTCAGGGTTGTTATTAGATTCAGCTCAGTGGCATAAAAATAAACAAACAAACAGATGCTGGTTTTCAACAGTCAGTATACATTACTTCTAATTATTCATCAGTTAGGATGAAATAGTGCCATGGGATACTTGGATTAGTACCCTCCCTGTCAAAAGGCCTTTGTGCTAGAGTACCATGGATATTTATAAATAGTGGTTAATGACTTTTTGTCTACCCTGTTATGAGGAAGAAACAATTTAGATGTAGAAATGAGATGGTCTCAGGAGATCAAAATGGTTCGTATGATAAAGACAGGATAGGAGAAATCAAAGTAATAAAAATCAAATAGTATACAGCATATTCACGGGCCTTTACATATTTCATCTAAATGCTTCCAGTAGCTGAAAACACAAACAGGCAGCAAATGTGATTGGCACCACGATGCCATGGATGCGTTTATTTCCTTCATGCTTGTCTGCCTGTGATTCCTCCCTGCCCTGGCGCAGCACTGTTTTGTTGAGGAGCATGAGTCACAGTAATCAAATATTAGAGAGGAACTTCCTGTAACTAAATTGTATTGACCTTCTAAGTTGAAATGACTATTTCAAGAGAGCCCACTAGGTGAAACGATATTGTTGAAACACTAAAATCATTGCAGGACGATTAATTTTCATTGTTTTGGAGTAAATAATGGTAATAGTTCTTTTTCCATATTTATAAAACCAATAGTTAAAGCTGTGACAATACTCCTAAAAATACTATCTAGAAACTTCAGTATCTCAACAATTATGTGAATGTGAATATGTATATAACATGAATACAATTTTTCTCTTCTTTATTCCTTCTTTTTTGTTTATGTTTTTGGATCTTATCTTTTAGGGAATATACAAATGCATTCCAAAATCAATAGAATATGTACCCTATTAATCTCACAAATTGTGAAAATATGGCATTAGAAGAGAATCAGCAGAGTGTAGCTACATGGGTTTAGCATAGCTTTGAAGCAAAATGTGTTTGAAGGCTGTTGGGTTATAGCATAAGAAGATCAGTGTAAAATATTTGTATACCCGAAGAAGATTTTCTTGCAGCCATTGTGTGCACGCTTTAGTTTTGAATCTCAATGGTTTTGAAGTCTTTTCACTTTTGTTCAAAGCACAATGTGGTGCTAAGCAGAGAAAAGAACTGAGTGTGATCACAGTGTTAGGAGCAGAATCAACTCCTCTATGTCTTTTGAGCCTGAATCAGGGCGCCATGCCCTGGGGCAGCAGCCAAGCCACAGTGAGGGTCCCTGGGAGCCCCAGAGCAAATCAGGGGAGGGAACAAGAGCTTTCAGCTCCAGCTGGGTGCTGGGAGCCTGTTGTACTCTGTCAAGAATGTGGAATGTGGTGATCTTCACAAGGCAGATTTGATTAATTCTGTTGAATGGAGTTTCTTTTGCCTGGGAGCACCATGCATCTGTTCCCACGGAATATTAAAGCATTTCTACCCTCTCTCCACCACCACCCGGCACTGAATATTCAGGTCACCTGCTTCATGTACAGCCAATTTTCTCCACTTCTGAGGGTTTTGAGGAGTGCTGGAATTTTTTGTGGAAAAAGACTCTCTTCATCTTGACTTATCTTATTAATATTGTATTTTACTGATGCTGAGTCCGAAGTGCCACTGTTTTCACCTCTAAAGGAGGTTTACCGAAAACTTGATATATACTCCCCGCCCTCTGCCCCCCCCCAGTAATCCTTGTGTCTTAACCCTAGCTTGAAGAGCCAGGAACCATAATTTCATTTTTTTTTTTTTTTGTGTGTGTGTGTGTGTGTGTATGTGTGTTTGAGGGTTCAGTCACACTATTGGAAAGTAAGTCTAGGATTGTAAATGAGATGTTATCTGATCCAAGTGGCTTAGCTGGGGAATGATAGGGAACTATTTTGCTTCATGGGTTATTATGCTGGCTTAATGCTGCTTTGGAAAGAGGAGGAATGATCTGGTTATGAATCTATGGCCCTCGGTCTTAGAAAAAAAAGCACAAGTACAAGAAAGAATCTTTGGGCTCAGTACTCCATAGATGTAGATATTTCCATGTAAATGTATCAAGGTGGAGTCTGAAATGGGTCTCAAAGATGGGAGCATTGTAAGAAAAACCTTTGCTATCTGAATCCTCCATCTTTTACCTTGTGAGTGCAAAACTGGCTTGCACACTTGTAAATTGGGACTGTAAATGGCTACCATTCCCTGCATTGCTGTAGAATAATGTTTATTTAAGTGGGGAAAGAAAAGGAAGAAATAAACCCAATGTGGAGACATTGTAATGAGACAGAAACAAAGCAGTTATGGTCAGGAATTGCAAGCCAGGCTGCTACCTGTTTGGATGGGAAGCATGCTAGCCCTCTGTTGTCCTGGATACCTTACTCTAAGAGCAGTCACCTCCAGCTGTTAGGCTGAATAGGAAGAAGATACCAGCAACCCCTGGGGATCCTGAATGGAGTAAAGTTTTGGCTCCGAGGAGCACAGAACCTATCCAGAATGATGAAAACTCCTTCACTGAAACATGATTAGGGGGAAAGAAATCATTAACTCAGTCAGGTCACGGAGTCAGGTCAGAACAACTTTCATATTATTGCCAATGTCCGTATTCAGAGAAATACATCTGCCAGTCCTCTGGTGGCCTTGGGGAAGTCAACCAATTTCAATCCTGTATCTAGGTCCAGAGCTAAGCACAGTGTGGTGAGACTTTTTTTTTTTTTCTCTTTTTTCACTGTGTGATAGAAAATTGGTTTTCAGTGTCTTTTGTCGCCCTCTTTAATCGGATCCTCAATGGATTTAGTCTCCCTGAAGCACCAGCAAAGATTATTGTATGCCTTTGTGTCAAATCTCACCTAAAGAATCTGCTTCCTTCAAAAGTCATGTACAAGGTTGGGTGCTACAATGCAGGGCCAACCATAGCATTTTCTGCACAGTCATAGAAAATCTGGGACAATACACCTTGTGAGTGTTCTCCAGGGGCCTTCAGAAGTAAACCAGGGGAAAGGGACCACTGTGGCCTTCATTCCATACTGAGACCAGACAACTGTCCCAGTTTATTTCCCACAGTGCATGGACTTTGGCTTTGAAATGATCTGCTGTCCTCTCCCCCCCAAAATTGTCCCCAAGCACTTTCTTTTTCTCTATTCTCTAAGAAAAAAATATTTGAAGTTGCATTCTTTTTCAGAAATAGTCCTCTCCTTGCCTTAAGGTTGTTGAGAAAGACCAGTTCATCAACTATTAAAAAGCAACTGGCTATCTCTGACATGCAAAACCAAGCACTATTCCTTAATTCACGTGATTTATTCAGTTTTGGGTGTTATTAATGTATTTGCTTACTTATTTTTATTTGTTCCCCATACTTCCTGTTGCCTCAGGCTTATAACGAACATGTCAAATCTGTCTCAAATAGCACATTCCACAGCACTGTCTCTGGTACATTTAATGCAAGAATAGTAGCTCATTTATAGTCCACACTTTCAATTCTTCCAGCTTGCATTATATGGTGAAAGATGGGGTGTGCACATAGCAAGGGTCACAATGACTGTTGCTTTTCCTATAATAACAACATTATATGCAGTCTGCTATATGTGCACCTTTCTAGGGCAACAACAACTGCTGTTTTTAGAAATTTAACTTTTTGGTTGTTAAAATGTATCACCAGTTTTATATGTATGTGTGTACACTTTTTATATCACCCTTATTGCTACCATATTTTCAGTCAATGAATTTCTAATATTGATTTATAACTTAGTTATTAAAGCTGTAGCCATCTTCTTCTTGAACATCAACTGACTAGTGAATTCAGTTAGGACCAGCTTCCTCTCCTTTCTTCTAGGGTGTGAGATGATTGAAGCATGTGGCAGGCGATGGGCTAATATTCTGGATATTTGTATTTAGAGAGAAGACAATTTGACTTTCAGACCTATGATTCCATGTGCCATTTTAGGTTATTTTAGCGTCTAAGGAACAATAAGATAACTGTAGAAGGGTTAGGGTTAAGGTTAGGGTTTAGGGTTAGGGTTTAGGGTTTAGGGTTTAGGGTTAGGGTTAGGGTTAGGGTTAGGGTTAGGGTTAGGGTTAGGGTTAGGGTTAGGGTTTCACTCTGGGAGAGTTCCCTGAGTTTATGGAATGAAGATATAGGTAGTTCTTGTTACTATGTTCAGTTGTTCTCATGAGAAATCTTAATTTTCTTCAACCTTTCTTTGAGGATACTTAAGAAGAACTTCATGGGGCTTAAAGGGCCTCCAGCAGCCCCTTTTAGTTGGAAAATGAAGTCCAGGATGAAAGGCATTAGCCATGTCTGTATGGGCTTGGTAGTAGCTCACTGTGAAGAAAGCAATAAGAATTTCTCAGGCCCTGACATTAGGGTAAGAATATGAGATCCCGTTGGCATTGAAAGTGAAATACTTTCTGCCTAAAATGCTTCTTTTCACGTATGATTTCCAGAAAAGTATTATGGACTTGAGAAGTGTTCAAAATTCCCTGCTTTTTTGTTCTTGATGGACAGTGTAGTAAGTAACAATGTGCTTACAGTTAACTACCTGAACATACCCGAGACCTCCTTCCCTGTAGGCTTGTGAATCAGGTTATAAAGGGTAAACACTGGCAGTGAATTTGAAGAAGAAGTGTGAATGGAAGGTTTAATACTTTTATTTTAGTTTGAAATTATAAATTGGCAAATCGTATACATTTCTGAGGTAAAAATATGAGGTTATGATTTATGAATGCAACATGAAATAATTAAACCAAAGTAATTAACATTCCATAACAAAGTATAGTTTTTATTTTTGTGGCAAAACATTTGAAACTTTATCTTCTTGAAAATTTGAGATATATAATAAATTATCATTCCTACAAGTTTTGGTCCCTGTTTATGCAGTGTGTTCTGTGTAGGAAATCGATAGCAGTTCCCTACAAGGTTGATCTCATATAATTTGGATTTTCCTGTTTCTAACTCTAAATTTAGAGTTACAGGAAACTCAGGCCACCTTCAACTTAATTTCTCCTTCCATACTTTCTTTCCCACTGGCAGAATACTATAGCATTCCTTCTTTCCCTGTATATAACCATTGTTTCACACCTCTGTGCTCTGGACCAACCTCAGCCTGGAATGGCAGCTCAATATGGGAAATGCTGTGCGTTCTTGAAGGTCCAGGTTGGGGGGAACTTCCTCTGGAAATGCTTCCCCCACCTTAGTTTGGGGCTGCCTCTACTCTTCTAGCTTCTGTGCCCTTTGCTGGCATTGCATCCTGTTGTTCTGAGCTGTCCTGTAAACTGTGAGCTTGGCATACAGATTATGCGGTTTCCACTCTCCTCGCCATTGTGTCTGACACATTTTAATGCCCCCACTACGATTTAGTAGAAAATGTGCTATTGAAGTTCTTACTGGTTTCCTATTTACATCTCCCTGCATGCACTTTTATGTAATTTTCACGATTCTTAGTTTGATTTTAAAATGTTTAACATGTGGTGGTAAAACATACTAATAGTTATTTTTTTTTAATTTAAATTACAGGTTTTACCTCAACTTTATTACTGAAGAAGTAGAAAATCCTGAAAAGTAAGTAACCTCATTTCCTGTGAGATTTTCGTTAAAATAAAATTTGAACTTTCTAATTGAATAATAGGCTTGAAGAGGAAACCCAGTGTGTGCCAGTTAATTTCACTGTTGTTGCTATCATTGTTCTGTTAGATAAACCCACCTAAATTTTCACTATAAATGACCCCCCACAAATATATATTATATACTAATATATATTAGATATATTATATATAATCATGTGCTATATTTAATCCTAAATTGCCTTACAGTCTCAACATAGGAAAGAATAATGATATGTTTTATATAACCTATTTTACATATATACATATAACCTAACACAGACTCTTTATAAGTGTAGTTTGAACTAAAAAAGTTAATTATTTCCACATGTACCTTAAAAAAACTATGCAATTAGAGAGAATAGTATAATGAATGGAAACTTGGTGAAGTAAATGAAAGATGTTATAGAAACTTGTAAATTTGGGAGCTCAGTTAATTTTTTTAACATTTTCTTCATTAAAATATTGATAGGAGATTTGATGTTAGTTAAACAATGGGTCAAAATAGGCTGCAAAATTAATTATTTTCATGATTTTTGAATAAAATTTTGACTTTACATAGAAAAAATAAATATCAATTAAAGAAGGAAAATTTAAGAAATATAAAATATAATGATATTTAACTCATTTTGCCTTTATTCAGCATAGGCTATCTTCTAACTATTGTGTAAGCACCTCTTTCAGGATGAATGAGTCTTATCTGCAACCATTTTATTGTGTTTTCCCTGAATGGAAGTATGGAAACAAAAGCTTAATAGTGTGACTGACACCACAGCAGAGTGTTATCTACCAAAGAGAAAATGGGATGTTCTTAACTTTATCCTAGGACATGTTGCTCATCAAGAGTGCAGGAAGCGGAGAAAAAGAGAAAGAGAGAGAGAGAGAGAGAGAGAGAGAGAGAGAGAGAGAGAGAGAGAGAACTTTACCTGTGGGAAAAAGCAGAAGTATTGAAGTGAGAAAGTACATCATTGTGAAACAGGTTGGAATCAGAGAGTGTGCCTAAGGGCTGACTGTTGAAAGTAAGATGAACTATCAAATTATGGCCCCGGGTGTCTTTGGAGATGGTTAGCTGATTGCATTTGGCCAAATATCAGAGATATCAGAGTTTAGAACATAAGAGTCAACAATGGGAGTTAACGTGGTGCCTCATAGTATCTGATTAAACTGTTCTGTAAATCAATGTGTAATTTCAACATGAAGAAGACCAATTTATTAAGAAATATGGTCAATTTATAAGAATGTTTTCATATTTGTCATTGAAATTAAAGAGAAAGGGAATGTTTACAAGGAAGCAATTCTTACATTTCTTGGAAATGATAAGCAAACTACCTAGTGGCTGTAACCACACTGATAATAGAAATAAATAGGTGGAACTGTGATTTTAGTTTTGTAGACTCCTTAGTGTGGTGCGGTGACCCAGAGAAAGGGCATTTTATACTATATGTTATGTTAAACATTGATTGAATTCTGATTTTGGGAAATGAGTGACTAAGGCTAAGTATCGCATTTAAAGCTGAAATATTTTAAAGACACTGATTGCTAAATGCAATGTAAAAGAATATTTATTATGAAAAATAGTAAGTAATGGTTTATGGACATGTTCTAGATCACAATATCAGTGCTGTAGAAGCACTGTTCTAGGTGGAGTTGTTTAACAGTTTAGACAGATGTGTTTGCTAGATACATGCTGCTATTGTGTGCATATGTATGTGTGTCTGTCTTTAAGTGTTTCATACCGCTGTTACATGTTTCTGACACATGGCCCTGGAATGGCTCTTGGTTGAAGAAGTCTGTTCCTTAATGGTATTTCATCTCTTAGTTTCAGACACAGACTAAGCCCATGCTTCAGTGTTTATAAACACTAAGGAACAGTGACTGTGATATGTTGATTCAGTGAATTTTTTCACTGAAAAGAATTTTCTTTTTTTCAGACAGGGTTTCTCTGTGTAGCTTTGGAGCCTGTCCTGGAACTCTGTAGACCAGGCTGGCCTCCAATTCACAGATATCCTCCTGCCTTTACCTCTGCCTCTGCAGTGCTGTGATGAAAGGCGTGTGCCACCACCACCCAGAAAGAGATTTTTTTTCTTAACTAAAAAGAAAAAGAAATGAAAATGGAGTTGCAGAGGACTGGAGTTCAATTCCCAGCACCCACATCACTTGCTTACAACTGTCTCTGACTCCAAATCCAAGGGATCCTGTGCTTTTGGCTTTCATAGGCACCTGTACCCATGTACACATACCACCACACAGAGATGCAAACACACACATAGTCTTCAAAGATAAATCTGAAAAGTGAAAATAATAATAGTATATGCCTTATTGGTGTGCTAAGGAGTTAGCACATATATTTAGATTAGTGATGATTATTTTTTAATCTCCACATAATTGATTGTTGCTACCATTATTGTTGTATCCTTACTTTAGAGCAAGGTAAACCGTTACTCATTTAAGAGTGTTTTTCTAGGTTTCAGCATCCCAAGCAAGTTTGTTTTCTCAGTCATTTTTGAAATGAGTATGAAAAATCACCACATCATATTGAATCCAGCTCCTGCAATTTTCAGGGCTGGAGTTGAATATTTGTTTCATGATTAGTCTTATTTGTGTGCAGAGAATTCATTGAGGTTTTATATTGATAGGGAGTAAGGCTACTTATAATGGAAAAAAACAAAATACAACTTTTATAATAAATAAAAACTCACTTGGTTCTGGAGAGATGGCTCAACAGTTAAGGTTACTTGTTGCTCTTCCAGAGGATGTGAGTGAGTTTCCCAACACCCACACCAGACAGCTCACAACCACCTGTAACTCCAAGCACCCTTAGTTTCTTTCAGCACCTACACACCAGTGGTATGCACGAACACACATAGACACATACACATAGAAAAAATAAATCTTTAAAAGCAATTATGAAACAGTCTTAGAATATTATTACATTATTGCATATGTATTACAATAAAAATTAGAGTTTTGAGGGACATGAATGTCTATAGTTTCAATCATGAAGCTCACAGGATCCTAAGTAATACTAGAATTTTAAAATATTGGATCGAATACTTTCAATTTCTGGAAGTGTTGATTTTGATACATTCTTCACTAAACTTATATAGAACACCTAATTCAATATCTAATTTTTGAGATTTTTATTTTATTGTTTAAAACTTTGTGTGTGTGTGTGTCCGTGTGTGTGTGCGTGTGTGTGTGTGTGTGTGTGTGTGTGTGTGTGTGTGTGTGTGTGTGTGTGTGTATGTGTGTACATGAGTGCAGGTGTCTGCAGAGGCCAATGTGTTAGATCCCCTTGAGTTATAGGTAGTTGAGAGCCTCCTGACTTGGGTGCTAGTATTGGAAATTGGATCCTTTGGAAAAACATGCTTTCTTTAAATTAAATTTTTTGTTATTTAGAAGCATTTTAAAATTTAAACATATTTTGATCATATTTTTCCTCTCCTCAAAGTCCCTTCATATCCTTTCTTCCTCCCTACCCACCGAAATTTAAGTTCTTCCTTAAAAAGAAACAAAACCGCTGGGCGTTGGTGGCATACACCTTTAATCCCAGCACTTGGGAGGTAGAGGCAGGCGGATCTCTTCAAGTTTGAGGCCAGCCTGGTCTACAGAGCGAGTTCCAGGGCAGGCTCAAAAGCAATACAGAGAAACCCTGTCTCAAAATAAAAGCAATAAATAAATAAATAAATAAGACAAAAAGAAACAAAAAAGAAAAGAAACAAAACCCCAATATAACAACAAAACCCCTCAAAACCAAGAAAACAAAATAAAGCCAGTTCCCCCTGACGACCCCCCCCCCCCAACTGTAACAAAATAAAAGCACACACACACACAAAACAATGGCATTCGATCAGCTACTCCTGAACATCAGACCTATCCTGGAGTGCTTGATATACTTACTATCACTCTATTTGAGAAAACTGATTTGCGCTCTCCCAGCAGGTATCATCACCAGTTCAGTTGTTAACCTTTACCCTAGTGGCTTGTTTTTCATTCATTCATTCATTCATTCATTCATTCATTCATTCACTTTTACATATAACAGAATAAAGTAAATAAGATAAAATAAAAAACTATCACATCAAAATTGGACAAGAGAAACCAATAGACAGAAAATAGAAGTCACCAGAGTCAGACCCACTTTGTTCACACAGTCAGGAATCTCATCAAAATGCTAAACTGGAAGCCATAATATATACGTAAAGGACTTTGTGCAGACCTGTGCAGGCCCTGTGCATGCTGCCTGAGTCTCTGTGAGTCCATATCAGCTTTGATCACGTTGATTTAGAGGGCCTTGTTTTCTTAGTGTCTTCCATTCCCTCTGGCTGATACACTCATTCTAACTCCTCTTCCATTGTGTTCCCTGAGCTCTGAATGGAGGAATTTGATGAAGACATCCCATCTAGGGCTGAGTGTTCCAAGGTCTCTCACTTTATATGAAATGTCTGGCTCTGGGTCTCTGTTTCTGTTGCAGGCGGAAGCTTCACTGATGATGACTGAGCAAGGCACACTGATTTATGAGGATAGCAGAATATCAATAGAAGTCATTTTATCAGTACATTTTGATTTTTATTTGGTTTTACTCTAGATTCCTGGACTATCTACCCTCAGGTTCTTGGTCACCAAAGTAGTTGGGTGTGGGTTCCATCTTGTGGAGTGGGCCTTAGGTTAAATTAGATGTTTCCTCCCACAAGCTTTGTGTGACCATTGCCCTCATGTATCCTGCAGTCAATACACCACTGTAGATAAAGGGTTTGTGAGTAGGTTGATGTTTTTGTTTCTCTTTTGACAGTGTGTAGAGTACCTTCCTGTCTTAAGGATGCTGTAATGTAGGGGTGAAGGCTCTGTGTAGGCACTGGCTTAACCTCTTCATGTTCGATTAATTGTGTAGGTGTTATCTTCAGCAATGGGCTTGCTGTCAGTGTGGAGAGCAACCTATATCTTGGCAACAACCTGGTT